TGTGCCTAGTAACTGAAGCATTTTCTTAAAAGCTAAACATAGGTTCACAGAATTCTCCAGAATTGTTGAATCAGTTCACAAGCCCACCAAAAATATATTAGTATTTCAATTTTTTCACATATCCTCCAACATTTGTCATTTTTTCTGTTATATTGGCCAGTTTGATGAGTGGGGTAGTACTTTGGAGTTTTTTTTTTTAATTTGCATTTCTCTAATCAATAGTGATTTAGAGTGTTTTTTCATGTGACTATAGAATCAAATCTGATGTAAAGGCAAATCTCATTGGATCATGATTTCCTATTGGAAGGGATCTTAGAAGTCATCTCATCTAGCTTTATGATTTACAGAAGAAAAAGCTGAGGCTCAGAAATGCTTTATGATCTGCCTAAAGCCACCCAGTAAGTAAGCAGAACTGGGTTTCAAATCCAGGCCTTCTGATTCTAAATCCCATAAAGTTGGGATTTTGCCATATGAAAGAAGTTTAGCTGACCACATTTAGCTAATAAAAATAATTCATGAGTATTTGATAAAAAAGGACAAACAATAAGATAAAGCAAATAATCTCATATACCTCTTTGTTGTTTGACAAATACAAGCATTTGGGAATAACTTTGCTTTGGTTCCATAATCATATTCATTGTCCTTTCCTTGTAAGTCTGGCATGACACTTTGTCCTCTAATGGACTTAACATTTGTACTATATCATTATTTGATTTTGTACCTAACATCCTCTCACCTTTCCTTCAAGCCCCCAACCCTTCTCCTCCCCAAAAAAACAGACTGAAAGCTCCTACACAGAAGATATCAAGTCTCATCTAAACATTGTATTTCCCCCAGCACTGAACCTTGGGCTTTGTAAATATTAAGATATTAATTAATTTTTGTTCTATAAATAAGGGAGAAATGGAAAGGATCTAAGATCATAGATCAAGAGCTGGAATGGAGATTATATAGTTCAACCTTCTTATTTTATTGATAAGAAAAATGGCAGGACCAGGATTGAAAACCAGATCCTGGGTCTCTAAATTCAGCATCTTCTTAAAAAATTTTCACTCTTACTGCCTGCCTTGGCATAGAAAGAAACTGAAGCCTAAAGTGAGAATTTGGATTGACTGAGATCCCAGGGGAATATGGCACCCAGCCAGGACTCAAACTCAGCCCTCCTGACTTCTAGGACAGTGCTCTGCCCTCTCAATTACATTGCTTCTCAATGTTTTCCTAAGGATTGAATTATATTTTTTAAACTCTTCTGATTTTGCTCTTAAGATGTTCTTGTGTGGGACAGAGACCACCACTCAAATTCCAAACGAAGATTTAGTTATCTTGAAAGCAGAAAGCAGTTTATTGCTTTCTCATGAGTAAGGATACCGCTCCTGGTCACCCTAATGGCGCTGGCTAGGGAGGATGGTATGTACAGAAAGCAAGGCTTATTTATACCCTAACAGGAGTTCCTCCTCCCTAACCTCCTTCCCCTTATCCCATTGGCTGGGCCTCAGGGGCCACAATCTATTCAGGGAAATCTTCCCCAGCAACAGAGTACACAAGTTTGCCCAGAGACAAGAAAAGGCAGGAAGTCTTGCAGTTTAGGTTGGGGGGGGGGAGGGTAGGGCTATTCTATTCTTTCTGCTACATGCTTAAAAACAGGGTCTGAGGGGATTTTGACAAGGTCAGAAGGGAGTGTGTTTCAACAATAGGATTAAATTCCTTGAGGTCATCTACAACAGGTGCCTCCAATTTCTGTCCTCCCACTTATCTTATTGTCTGGCTTCTGACCTTATCTCTCTCCAAATGACCACTGATCTCCTAATTGCTGCCCTTTGTGAGAACTATTAACAAGAACTATTAACCCTTTGAGGAGGCTTCACTTCTGAGAGATCATCTCTCACATTCTTAAAAATAAAGATCATGGAATCATCTATCCATATTTAGCAGTGACCACAGAGATCACGTAGCCTAAATCTTTCCTTTAACAAATAAAGAAACTGAGACCATCCAGAAAAGTAAATAAATAACAGAATTGAGATCTGAAACCAAGCCCTCTGATTCTAGCTCAAGCATTGTTTTTGAGTGAGATATGGTGAAGACCTCTCATAAAATCTAAATCTATAGAATGTTGCAATACTCGGCTCTCTGCCCAGTTTTGCTATAAAAACAAGTTATTGACAGTGAGATGTTCCAGGAATAAGAATAAGGACACAGGATATGATCACATCTGCATGTTTACTCAAGGCAAGGGGCCCAGAAGGGGTAAGAATTGTGCAAAAATTCTTGGAAGGCTGAAACGTGCAAAGTAACTGCATCTGCTTGTTCTGTACTTCATCATTGGGGTCGATTATCAAGTTCCAGATTGTACCCTCAAGGCTTGTGATTTTGAGCCAAGAGAAAGGGGGTTAGGGAGGGGGAGTTGCGGTCAGGATCTATAAAAGAATCTGTCTTGTCTGTGTTCAGCGCGCTCTGACACTGAGAGAACACTTGGTGTGGGTCGCTCTTTCTCGCGAGATTGTAATAAAACTCTTTTCTACTTTCTACCTTGAGAAGCCTCTGAGTCTAATTTGGGTAAAAATCTCTCGCTGTCCCACACATTTTCATCATCAAGATGTTATTTGGTAGATGTCTTATTACATATCAGATTAAGATACCTAAAGTCAAGTACTAGGATTTTCCTTTGGAATGCCCTCTCCTTGGTTACTACTTGGTTCATCTCCCCTTAAAATTAGCCGAGTGCAAAGTAAAGAGTGCAGGATTTAGGAATAAGGAGATAATAACCTTTTATGGGTTGTAAAGTGCTTTACAGGTTATCTTATTTGAGCTTCACAATAACCTTGTGAAGAAGGTGCTATTATTACACTCATTTTATAGATAAGGAAAGTGAAGCTAGAAGAGGTTAAGTGACTTGCCCAAGGTCACACAGCTAGTAAGGGTCTGAGCCTAGATTTGAACTTGGGCCTTACTGATTTTAACTCCTGCTCTCTATCCAGTGCACCCCTTAGTATTTATATATTATAACTGAAATCATAGGATTTAGACCTGGAAAAGCATTAAAGATTGTCTTAGTTTAACTTTCCCATTTTCACACATGATTAAATTGAAGCCCAGAGATGGTAAGTGATGGTCATTTAAGATCAATTGAGCCCCAATAAGGGCCAAAAACATGAATTACTCTTATTTCTCTGAGTGAACTAAGAATGCCCCTTCTGATGTCAATAGCTAAAGCTGATTAAGAGCATTCTTCTGTTTATGACCACTAAGGCGCCTTTAACCCAGACACTACCTTGACTTTTCTTATCTTGATATTCTATGGTGGTAAAGGAAACACAGATATCCTGGATCTGACATTTGTCTATCAATTAACATAGATATCCTGAATCAGGGTTTAAAAGTCCTGCTAAAATTGCTTGATTCAGAGTAAAGCTCTGCCTCCATGTAACTTGTTACATGCTGCTAACTTAAGGGAATACAACAATATGAATTTACTTATCAACTAGCTTGTTGTCTCTTTAACCAGCCTTCAGGTAGACAAAAGTGAACTTCCCAAGGTCAGAAAGTGAGTAAGTAGATTTGTTGTTGTTCATTCTTGTTTTTGAAGAGTTCCAATGACATCACAAAGGAGTTATCTTGACTTGGTTGTGAATTGGATCTAAGTGATGCAGAGCTGCACAAAGTCATCGGCCTCACTCCTCCAGACTCATCAAAGTCCAGTGGCAAATGTGAAAATGGAATGGTTAATGACTTTACTAACCACCTTGATCTGCTTGAGCTCCCTTAATAACCAGAAAAGACCAGACTGACCTGGGAATCAGAATCAGCCAATCAGGAAGCAGACTGAGCATCCCTTAAGTTTGACATACCAGAGACCAGGAAATCCCTCTACTGTGCTGGTGACCAAGGAACTGACTTGAGCTGGTTCACACTAGCTCTAAAGGATAGAACTAGCACAAGCATCCTAGTTTTGGGGATTTTTCAGCCTGACCCTCTTCCATGTTCCATATAGGCATCTTATGATCTCTGTGAAATAGCCCCTCCCTGAGAAATGGAAACTGAACCCAAGGGATTGTGGCAGTATTTGACTGGGCCATAACATGGCCATTCTCACTCAGATTTTTGTCTTTATAATTTATGCATTCCAACCCCAAAGAGAGCTCAGTTCTGACTGCAGCTTTGCATGCATGTTTGCCAGCTTGAGAGAAATAAGCATGCATACTTAATTCTGTTTGTTTTTCTCAGACTGAACTCTGGAGTTGACACAGGACATAAGTCTAGATGATTGATGATGGCAGGATGCAATGGACAATCTTGATTTTTCTAAATTAAAGTCTTTCCCAGGCCTCAGTTTTGACTCAGGTAAGAATTGAAGCAAGAGATGGCCTAATTTATCATCACAAAAATATCGGTCTGGGAGGGGAAGAGGAAGAAGAGGGGAAGTGGTCATTATCTTTCTAGAACAGAAAACAATTGTTATTCACGCTCATTCTAAGCCATTAAACCAAACAATGAAGCTTGGGCTGGGAGCTACTATTGACCTTTCAATAAAAGCCTGAGTGATTTGGATTTAAAGGCCTAGTAGAGTAACTCCATTATAAGCAGAGCTATTATTTCAAAAGCATTTTGATGCCTTTTGACACCAAATCCTGTATTAATATTCCTATCCTATACACCAGCGTCAACATTTTATACCTTCATTTCATTCATTCTTGGCAGAATGTAAAGGAAAGAGTGAAAGGGTTATAGATCAGGAGATGATAACATTTTGAGGATGGTAAAATGCTTGTTAGATTTTAAAGTTTTTAACTGCCTGGTAGATTATGACTGATGCTAGATTTTCTGAATTCCTTGTAATAATGCTGATTTTAGGGTGGGTATAAGCAGAATTTAAATAAGTGACTCAAATATTTAAATCCTGTGTCTTTAAATCAAATTAATGAGGAAGTTTTTCTTGGACCTTGGGAAAAGGACTTTTGTGACTCCCAAAGGACATTTCCTGTTGTGGGAGGGGGAATCCTAGGCTGGCTCCATTTATGGGACAAAGGAAGCTCTCCTACCTGAACTTTTGCCTTCAAAGACTGTCACCATCACCTCTTGCTCCAGTTTCTCTCTTCATGATGAAATCAGCAGCTCTGGCCTTTTTGGTCCTGGCCATATCTAACTGGGCTTTCTATGTGGCTGGTGAGTTGTGGAAATTCAACCACACAGATTTAGTATTAATGGAATAATAGGATTGTGCAATGTTAAAATCTACAACATAGAAAACAGACTTTCAGGGCTAGATATAATCAGAGACACAGATTCTGAGAATCTCAGAGTTGGGAAAGATGTCAGAAACTGTCCAATTCAAAAGAATGACTCAAAAGTGTGTTACTTTAATAAGAATTTCATCTAAAACATAATTGTCAAGTGGTCACCTAGTCTTTACTTAGAGATTTTCTATGAGAAGAAGACCACTACCCTTAATCTAACTTTTAGGAATGTTTCTCTTTGTTTTGTTGCTGTTAGTAATTTTCAGTCATGTCTGACTCTTCATGATCCCATTTGGGGTTTTCTTGGCGAAGATAGTGAAGTGGCTTGCTGTTTCTTTCTCTAGCTCATTTCACAGATGAGGAAATTGAGGCAAACAGGGTTTAATGACTTGGTCAGAGTCACATGACTAGTAAGTGTCTGGGGTTGGGTTTGAACTCAGGTCTTCCTAACTACAGGCCCAGCTCTAACCACTGTGCCACCTAGCTGCCCTAATATCATTCTCCTTGCAACAAACATAAACTTGTTCTTATGCAACTTCTGCTTATTCCTTGCTCCATTTGTTTCACTTGGGTTTTCTTAATCATCCCCAGATGTTTCAACCAAGGTTGATATGACAGGATCAGGTACTGGTTGTCCATTTCACAATATTCTTAAGATTATGCATGACTGTCATGAAATATGATGTCTAGAGCTGAATTAACATCATTCTGCCGTGTTCTGACAAGGACAAAGGATGATGGGACCAGCATACCCTTGGTCCTGAAGGGGTTATGGGCTCAAACTGAGACCTTTGTCCCTCACTCCAAAAAGAATTTGGGTCCCATTTGTCTACGGGCCCTAGAAAACCCTTAAACTTTCTTTGATTTCACTCTAGTCTCAAATGGTTGTCTGAGGCTTTACTCCACTCAACTGGCCTTTTCTTATATCTTACTCTTATTCTGATGGACCTATCTCCTAGGCCCTATCTCCCTTTGAAACCCTAATGAAGCTTACTCTTTGATCCTAGTATATTTCCCACCTTTGATCTTATCTAGACTCCATTCAACCTCTTCCTTTCAGTTCCCTTCATTGTCTATTCCTGGCAACCTCCCAGACACTCCCATTCTCCCTAAACTCCTTCCCCAATCACCCAGATCCTCTTCCCAGCCCCTCCTCCCAACACCCCAAAATTACTTGACTATATATAAAATTCATCCTGCTCCCCATTTAAACGCTGAGATTTCCTCATGCCTGCTCATCCTTACGGACATCACTAATGTTCAGATTCTTTAAGTCTGGCTTGTATGGTTTATCTCTTATAAAAACCTTGTCTTTGGCTGAAAGAAGACTTGGGTCGAATTCATTCAGGCAGGACCCACTGTGTCGTGATTTTGGGGTCCCAGAACCCCAAGAATCTACACCTCATCAGTCTCATCTTCCTTTTCTCTTCTATCTCTGCCACCACCCTGGTCTAAGCCCTCATCATCTCATTCCTGGACTACTGGAAATAGCTTCTAGTTGGTTTCAAGTCTCTCTCCACTCCAATCTATTCCTCACTCAGTTACCAAAGTTATTTTCATAAAATGCAGGTCTGACTAGGTCAATTTCCCACTCAATGAACTCCAGTGGTTCTTTATTATCTCAAGATCAAATACTATACCCTTTGTTTTTTAAAGCCCTTTATTGCTTTGCCCCTTACTTCCCTGTGTCTTTCTTACTGCTTACTTCCTTTCATGTACTCTGAGATCCAGTGACACTGTCCTCCTTGCTATTCCTTGAACAGAATAGTCCATCTTCCCACTTCAGGCATTTTCACTGGATACTCCTCATACCTGGAACTCTTTCCCTCCTTATCTGTTGTGCCTCAATTCTTCAATTTCCTTCAAGTTTCTCAAATAAAAGTCTACCTTTTGCAAAAAACTTTTCCCAGTCCTTCTTAATATTAGTGCTCTTCCTCTGAAATTATCACCAATATAACTTGTATATATATCTTGTCTGTCTATAGCTGTTTGCATATTGTCTCTCCCATTAAACTGTGAGAAAACAGGAACCATTTTTTTTCTTTTTCTTTCTTTGCATCTTTAGTGTTTAGCACAGTGCCTGGACATAATGATCACTTAAAAAGCATTTATTGTTTTATTGGATAGGACACTATCTCTCAAAGTATTTTAAAGTCATGTTAGGGTTAGTCAAAAGCAAAACACTTTTGAAGAGGGATAGGGTGAAAGGAGAGAGTGAATGGAACAAATGGGGGGATGGGATGGAGGAAATAGTGAATATGAAAAATAAATTGAAGCAAGTTTCTCTGATAAAGGCCTCATTCGTCAAACGTATAGAGAACTGAGTGAAATTCATAAAAAATAAGAGCCTTTCCTCAACTGATAAATGATGAAAAGATATTATCAGTTTTCAGATGAAGTAATCAAAGCTATCTATAGCCATATAAAAAAAATACTCTAACTCACTATTGATTGGAGAAATGCAAATTAAAGCAATTCTGAGCTACTACTTCATACCTATTAAATTGACTAATAGGATACAAAAAGTAAATGACAAATGTTGGATGTGGGAAAAATGAGACATTAATGCACTGTTAGTAGAGTTATGAACTGATTTAACCATCCTGTAGAGCAATTCGGAACTATGCCCAAAGGGCTAGAAAACGATGCTTACTCTTTGACCTATTTGTCAAATAGGTCACCCTTGTGGGAATTTGCCAAATAGAATTTTGCTCACCTCCCAATGTGATCATTTCTAATGTGACATAACAAATAGAGTATTTCAGCTGTAAGTCAGATGGTCCTGTAATCCTTTAGGTATAATAATTTCTGAGCTTGTCCAGAGAGATGCTGGAGTGATCATTAAGTCCAATACATTCCAGCATGAGCATGACTTTTATTACTGCTAAAAGGATCTACAACCATCCTTCCTGATTCTAACCTCGCCCAGTAGAGGTAAGAAAAGGAAAGGAAGTATTAGTTATTTCAGAGTATGGCAGCTCATTGGTTAAAACCTTTTTCTCTTTTTCGGATTATCAAGCAAAAGCAGAGCAAGTGAAAGGAACACAGGTGAGTCCATTTTTTTTTTTGTTCTTATTCTGGCTATTACAGAAATATAATTTTTTTTTGTTACCATGGGCTTTGTGGGCAGCATTATGTACTTGAAAGAGGCTTACTGCGGTGTCACATGAAAAGTAATCTAGTCATGACTTTACCATTGGTTTACTGTCTGACTTTGGCCAAATTCCCTTTCCTCTCTGGGCCTTAGTTTCTTCATCAATAATTTGGGGGGCTAAAGTTTCCTTCCCATTCCTAACAATCTATGTACTGTAGAGCCAGAAAGATCATGGGGCAACCAGAATATCTAATGAAATGTGATATGCTTCCTTTCCCCTTTCCTTTTCAGTAAAACATACTCAGGGTAGGAGGATAGCCTGTTACCTGCTGATGTCAATGGTTATCACATGCTTTTGTGGTTCCCTGTTTACTACAGGGGTGGGCTGCTCTTGGGGTGGAGTGGGGTGACTCTCACAGCTTGGAAATTAACATGACAAAGAACTCACATGACTAAAAGTCAGTCTAGGATGAGCAAGAGTTCAGTAGCAAAGAAGGAACATGCTATAAACCTGTTACTCCTTTTCCCCATATTAAGCTCAGCTCTAGTCTTCTCCAGTTCTAAGTCCCCTCTGTTTTTTCTTTCCTCTGTGCCTGTCATTCTGTATCTCTTCCTCTTTCATTCTTTCCATGTTTTCCTGTTCCTTGAAAATTTGTGTTCTTCTGAAGATGCTATATTGCTTGGCATCCTTTACAAAGTTGGCTTGTCCTTCTCTGACACCCCTTGAGATGCTCTTGTTCCTACAGGAGGAGCAATCAGTAAATCTTCCTCCCCATTGCCACATTCAGACCCTCCCTCGGTCACATCAATCAGCAGCCACCTCCACTCACTGAAAGTTTATTCCCTTCCCAGTGGTTTTTAGGTCACTTTCCCTCTCAACAAGTTCAGTATCTAGATCATAGCTTTTTCTCTACTCCAATCTCTGTCCATCTAAAATAATTTGTTTTCTTGGTTTCACAAGCTCCTCAGTTCCCAAGTACTCTTTCTCTAGCCCACCTCAATTACCCTCAGAATGGATTATATCTTTGATGCTTTCCATCCTTAACCCTCACAGTAATTTAAACCAGATACCCCAGAATTTCTAGTTATGGCTTTGATTTTTTGTGCTGTAAGGTAATTTATAACTATGGCATTTATGGTTCATTTTAGAGAGGAGCAAACTGGTTAAGAGAAAGGGAGTAATTGCCCCCCAAAGTCATAAGACAAAGCAATAGGTGAATGGGGCACACTCCACTTCATAGTGGTTGTAGGAGCTAAAGAGAGAGGATTAGTGTTCCCATTGAAATAGAGAGTGGTCTTTATCTTGTTTTTCCTACAGGTTGACTGCAGTGGGTACTTCCAAAGGAAGTACAACAGTTTAGCATGTCCAAGGAACTTAGATCCAATCTGTGGTACTAATCAAAAAAATTACGACAACGAATGTTTACTCTGTGACTATAACTTGTAAGTACTGAATTTAGTGCTATCCTCTCCCACCTTGATCAGTCAAATAACTGAGCACATCAAAATTTCAGAGCTGAAAGAGGCTCCAGAGGTCACTTAATCTAATCTCCTCATGATGCAATAAATAACACTATAGTATGAATGACAAGTGGTTATCTGGTAATATTTCCAAGAACAAGATGCTTACTATAGGAATGAGAGGCAGCCCATTCCACTGTTAAGCAACCTCAAATGGCAAGAAATTTTTTCCTTATTTTGATCTACAATCTGCCTCCGTATAGCTAGAAGTGGCAGGGTGTAGTGGAACGAATACTATTCTGGCAGTTCAGCAATAAAAGGTTCAGGTCCAGATTTTGCCACAACCAATATATGGCATTTGGCAAGTTTCCTCCCAGCTATGGATGGGCTGTGTTTCTTTCTGAGGTTCTCCCCAGCTCTGTTTAACTGGCCCATGAGGGCCCAGTGTATTTGGTATACTCAGTCCCCAGTCATGTGAGACAAGAGAGGAAGAGACTCAATTCATGTTTTCTCTGCTCAAGAATGATAAATTAATTGTGAACATCCTCTCTTATAGGAAAAATAGATTGAATATCAGAAAGCTACATGATGGAAAATGTGTAAGTATTGATTTTTTAAAAAGTAAAACATAGGTAAGATTGTATTATAAAATAACAAAGTATGAGCTATCTTATCTGGAAGTTACCTACACAGAACCTCATTCTTGTAGAAATCAGATAAGAAAGAGATAGATGCAGAAACAGATTTTGGGAAGTCAAAATAGGAAAGTGACTCAGTCTTTTTATTTTAAATATTTCTCTAAGAAACAATACTATATTGTGGAACATTATAGCACTTTGGGTAATACAGTCAGGACCTAAAAAAGATAAATTTCCAATTCTTTGCTATCACTAAAAGAGCTGCTACAAATATTTGTGTACATATAGGTCCTTTTCCTTTTTGTTTTTTATGCCTTTGGGATACAGATTTAGTTAGTAGTGGTACAATAGTCAAAGGGTCAAAGGGTATGTATAGTTTGATAGCCCTTTGGGCATAGTTCCAAATTGCTCTCTAGAATGGCAGGATCAGTTCACAACTCCACCAAGAATGTATTAGTGTCCCAAGTTTTTCACATTTCCCCAACATTTATCGTTTTTTTTTCTGTCATATTAGCCAATCTGATAGGTGTGAGGTAGTACCTCAAAGTTGTTTTTATTTCTATTTCTCTAATCAATAGTGATTTAGAGCACTTTATATGTATAGATAACTTTGATCCTTTCATACAGAAGCTGCTAAATCTTGTATTATCCTGACTGTGGCTCTATGATATTTCAATTATTTCTTTCTGGCTGCTTGTAATAGGAGAGTTTTCCTTAATAATTTCTTGAAAAATGATGTCTAGATTCTTTTTTTGGTCATGGCTTTCTGGTAACACAATAATTCTTATATTATCTCTCCTTGTTCTATTTTCTAGGTCGGTTATTTTTTCAATGAGATATTTAACATTTTCTTCTATTTTTTCATTCTTTTGATTTTGTTTTTACTATTGCTTGAAGTCTCATGGAGTCATTAGCTTTGACTTGTCCAATTCTAATTTGTAAGGAAGTCATCCTTTCAGTGAGTGTTTTTTTACCTCTTTTTCCCCACTAGGCCAATTCTGCTTTTAAGGTGTTATTTTTTTTCCCAGTATTTTTTAATGCCTCCTTTATCAAGCTGTTGACTCTCTTTTCATAATTTTCTTTCATGACTCTCACTTCTTTTCCAGTAACGTTTTTTTTTTTTTAACTGTGTCTCTTGTTTAATGTTTAAAATCCTTTTTGAGCTCCTCCTTTTTGTTGGGCTTGTGACCAGTTGACATTTTTTCTTTCAGGCATTGCATGTAAGCTGTTTTGACTTTGTTGTCTTCTGAGTTTGTGTCTTGATCTTCTGTCATTTTAGTAGTAACTTTCTGTAGTCAGGTTCTTTCCTTGTTGTGTGCTCATTTTTCCAGTCTATTTATTGACTTTTAATGTTATGTTAAAGTTGAGTTCTGACAAACTAAACTGACTGAAGCTGACCTTGTCCCTATTCCTAGGCCCATGAATTGCCTGAGACTGACCCAACATAATCACCCCAGCCTCTGACTATTTTTTAAGTCTCCAAAACTCTTCCCTCCAAAGATTCCTAAACTTTTACTATGGACTTTTGCTTGTTATGGAAAACAACTTACCTTGTCAAACTGTGAGATGTCCCTAACTCCTCCCACCTGCAGTTTGGTCATTCCCTCTGACTTAGTACCTTACATAAACCTTGTTCTCAAATCCCTCCTCAGGTACCCCCAGCACTTCCTGAGTGATACTCTGAGGTACTAGTCACTTGCCCCAATTAAAGAACTTAATTTTGCTATATTGGCTATTTTCTCTTGAATTCAGGTTGACAGGTCTGCTTCAAGGGTGAAGGGGGCACTGTCCCAAGTTTTAGGTTTTCCATTTTTTTGTTTTTAGAGCTAATTCTGGATGTCTGTACATTTCTTCTAAGGCAGTATGATCTCTGCAAAGGTGTGGTCACTGCTCTCCTGGCCTGTGCTCTGGTGTGTGAGTGACTGCAAGCACTCTTTTCTGCCCTGGAAATGTGGCCAAGGCACATTTGTGTGTGACAGGGCTCCCCTGTGGCCACAAACATTAGTGTGTTAGTGCTTCCCCTTACCCTAGGACTGTGACCCAGAGCTGCCCATAAGTAATGCAACAGAATCCTGAACCCAGCAAAGGGTTTCCTATAATCTCCTTTTGACCAGGTGTCTGACCCTCTTACCTTTCTGTGGGCTGAGAGCTCTGGAGGCTGTCTCTAGCCACTCCTAGGGCTTGCCAGGGCCCAGCCTGTGATGCAGTGAGCTTCACTCCAGTAAGACAGACCTTTCCTGCTGACCTTCTAAGTTGTCTTGGGCTGGGAAATTGTTTCACCCTGATCTTTTGTTGGTTCTGCTGCTCCATGATTCATTTTGAGGTATTATTTTAAAGGTATTTAGAGGGGAATTTGGGAGAGCTCAAGTGAATCTCTGCCTTTACACTGCCATTTTGGCTCCACTTCTCTAAGAAACCCTTATAGCTATCTAGTAACAGAATTGAAGGCCTTGAGGGTTGGTTAACTACTTATAACTATCTAATAAGACAGTGAATAACCACATTTGGGACCTTTTTGGAGAAAAGGATACCTTCATTGAGTGGGTAGCTGGGCTGGATTTCTTTTGTGTTACCTCCCAACTCTAAGTATCTGAGATTCTATCATAAGAAATATTAAATCTTTATTTTTTTTGGGGGGGATGTGTGTGGGGTCAGATTCGATGCCCGAAAGAAGAACAGGAATTTTGTACCTTGGAATATAATCCCCACTGTGGTTCTGATGGTAATCTTTATGGCAATAAATGTGACTTCTGCAATGCTTTTGTGTAAGTACTGAAAATATGCCTGGTTGGGAATGAGACTCCTTTTTCCCAGATCTTGGACTCCAGCTAGTGCATGATCCCCTGCTGTCAGAGAATGTCCCCTTGGGTCAAAGAATGGAGCATCTCCTGCCTCTCCCCTCACAGGTTCTCAAAGTAAGGCATGTAATCCATTCCCTCCCTATTTGTGATATTGAGCATGGGTTTCTTCAGTAATCAGAAAGCTTGACTTCATCCAAATAGATTAATAGAATGTAGATTGGGACCCTGTCAAAAAGTTCACCTTCTCTGTCACTAGATCATAACTCTATCCAAGCTAATGAAGAAAATTCTGACCAGAAACTATGTTCTATGTTCTGACCAAATAACTTCATTAAGAACTTAAACACTCATACTTCTCAAACCATTGCCATATGGTGCTTCTCACCCAGCTCCCATCTTTCCTTTTCTTATCTACTCCCTATCCCCAACTGTAGATGCTTGAGACCAACTCCAAAGGCTTAAATCTAATACTTACCTCATGATGGGGAACCCAAGATCAGGAGAGTGACTAGGTTGACTTTCTGATAGTCTTCTATATAGAAACCACAGGAGATGATAAGGTCACCAAGTGAAAAAAGTGTGCAAAGAAAAGAAAAGCAATCCCATGATAAAATTTTGTGTTACCTCTACATCACTGGCCATGACATGATGATGAAGCAAAGAAGATTGAGAAGGAATGTTCTTAAAGATATTAAGAGAATCTGGAAAGAGTTATGTCAAGGAAATTTATAGAGGAAAAAGCATTAAGGAGTAAAGGATGGTCAGTTGTGTCAAATATTACAGATGACTAAAGGAGGGTGATTAAGAAGAGATCATTAAATTGAGTGGTTAAGATTTCATCTTTGACCTTGGAGAAAACTGTTTTAGCTGAATGGTGAGGCTGGAAGTCAGATTGAAGCATGCTTCCCTTGAAAAGAGAAGGCATGAGAGGAGAGAAAGTAGATAATAAGCATAGCTCTTTTTCCCAAGTATTTTGGGTGATAAATTAAAGAAAGATATGATATGACATAATAGGAATGATATAGGGAACAATATAGGGAACATTTTTAAAGGTATGAAGACTTACAAGTGTGTATATTCATCAGGGAAGGAATCATTAGAGAAGGAGAAATTGAAAAATAAAGAGAAAGTTGGTATGATATTGGGCACAACCTGCTAGGAAAGATGGAGAGAATGATATCAGGGGCATACATAGAAGGACTGGCTTTCAGATGATCTTCTTCCCTTCAGCTAATAACTTTCACAATAAATGTTGTTCTCTATAAACTTTGTCTTTTGCTTTCAAATTAAATTAATTTTAGGAAAGTAGCCTATATTTGTACTAATACAATAGCATTGAAGATTTTTGAAGACATTTCAGATTTGTAAAATAATTCTGTCCCATATAGACTGCATGACTGTACCTTACTAAATCTCTTTTATTCAAAGGTAGATAATTCCTTATCATCAGAAGGAATGGGAATTTGTCCATTTTTTTCAAGATATCTATCCTTTCCCTACTAGGCTCAGCTGATGAATCTTGATCCTTCTTGATCCAGAATTTCCTATTACTCCATTTTAAAAGTTCACACCAATCATAGAGTCATCATGCCCCTATTTAATAAGTGATTCCAACCTTTCCTAGAATGTGAATATATTATACCATAATTAGCTTATTGCTCTGATTATAGACCTAGTCAAGTCAATAAGCATTCATTAAGCTTTTCCTATGTGCCAAGCACTGTGCTAAGCACAGTGCAATACAAGAAGAAAGACAATCCTTGGTCTCAAGGAACTTATAATGTAATGGGGCAGGTAGAACATAAAAGGAAGCTAAAAAGTGAGGGGAAGGTGGAAGAGATCATGGTACCCACGGGGTACATTGTAGAAAAAGTCTGAAGAAGTCAGGAGTGCAGCCTAGAGAGGAAAGAAGATGTGGCCAGCCTGAATCCCTCGTTAAATGGAGGTTCTGGGAGAAGTCAGCTAATCTGAGGGAGATATCACAGCAGTGGAGGGTACATTCATCTGTGAAGTCCACAGGTAGAGTGAGCTTCTAAGATGAAGAGATTTCTATGGCATGACAAAGTCCTGAAAGTCAATAGTACAGTTGGGAAAGGAATGGAGACCAAACCCCTAGAATGAAAAAACTTTGAAAGTAAAATAAATATTGACTGAAAATTGTATCAGTTTTCAGTCTCACTTGGGTTTTATATAAGCCCGGTTTTTTCTTTGAGGAAAAAGTATAGCCCACATTTGGGCCAACATGATGCTTTGTGGCCCAAGCATTCTACCTAAACACATTATTTTTTTAAATGACCTATATTTGATCCAGTTTGCTAAAACAAAGTGTGTTTGACATTTTCATAATATGATCAAAAGAATGTGTTAGTTTATATTCCTTTGTACCAATTTAATAACATGAAGTATGACATATATTCATATGTACTACAGGCAGCTATGTAGTGGAGTGGATAGAACAGGGGTGTGGAACCTGTGGCCTTAAAACCTTAAGGCCACAGGTTCCCACCCCTGAGCATTAGGCTCTGAGTCAGAAAGACTTAGGTTCTAATTTGATCTCAGGCACTTACTAGTTATGTGACCTTAGGCAAGTCACTTAACCTCTGTTTGCTTAAGTTTTCTCACCTATATTTTATAATAATAGAATTTACCTCCCAGGGTTGTTGTGAGGATTAAATGAGATAATTTCAAAGCACTAAACACAATGCCTGGCACATAGTAAGCATTACATAAATATTGGCTATTATTATTATTATATATTAAGACCATATATGTTAATTCAGTTTCCCATTACCACTTTGCCTTCTACCTTAAGAATTCATAAAGTTAGTACAGTGTTTGTTAGATGTTGTATATTTTAAAATATTATCTACCTGAGCATGTGTCTCTCTTGCAGGAGAAGCCAGGGTACTCTGACTTTAAGTCGTTATGGAGTATGTTGAGGACCAAGAGCAGCATATTTCCCATCTACAAGAAGCTTCCTGGTTTGGACTCCACACATAATCCTTTGATTACCTCTCACCTGGATTAGACCATAGTTGCTGATATCCCTAACTGTTTGCTGATTTACTACAACAATAAATACTTCTCTGCTTCAGCTCTAAGGGGTGTATGTGTTTTTCCCTCTGTTGAAACTATTATTTCACAAAGTACACATTCGATACTATAAGTTTATTTCCCAAAAGTCACATGGGTCATGACTAGGAAAAGAACGATCAAGTATACATGAAATGAATTCTTCATGGGCACAAAAAAGCTTAAAGCCCTTATGAAAGGGTATGAGATTTGGAATCATGATATAGGTTCAAATATTAGTGCTGTTGTTGCAGTCTGAGAGGTTGAGACCCCTCAAAGACCGGAGTATAGGACAGGTTGTCTGGAATGAATTCACAGACTCAAGCATTCTTTAAGTCAAGGTGGCAAAGATTTATTGTTATGCTTTTCAGCGGGCAAGGATTCTTAAGGAACCTGCAAGAGACTGAGAATGGAGCTAGGGTTTATATGGAAAAGGGCATGGGAAAGGAATGCCAGGGACACTGATGAGGTAATCCAAAGGTGCAGGTGTTTTTGGGAGCTATGGATGAGAAAGTACAGAGAGTATACCGGACAGGGAGGCAGATGACAGAGGTATGGATCTTGGGAGTCTGGCAGGAGGAAGATTCCTTGGGCCAGCCAAGGACAAAACTCCTTGGGCTTGGCAAGGCACCCCTCTCCCTCTGTCTTGATGACAGAATGCTCTGCAACAAAGGAAAGCTTTCTCACAAGACAGGAACTTACTAAGAAATTGGGAGGCTTCCAGAGACATGATCTGAGGGCTGGGGCCTGAGCAGCCCAGCACTCTCTCATCTAGCTTTGTGTAGCTGCACCAGAGAGAGAGATAAGGGGCATGCTGGGGCCCATGCATGAATAACTGCTAGGCACAGTGTCCTTGAGCTGGGTAGTGGTTGTTAGAGACAGTGTTTCTGAGGCTAGGGAGAAATTGGGGTGCAAGTACAAGCACAAGCATCCCATCACTTACCCAAGTTGGGAGGCTAGCTTCATTACCCTGATCAGGAAGTGTTGACCCTAGGTGATGCTTCCAGGCAAATGTTGCCCCAGGGCTCAAGGCCATTGCTAGTGGGGCCCATGCTGTAGCTGCTGCCCCTCCTCCCTCCTTCCTTTCCCAGGTGGGGGAGGGCAAAATCAAAGGTGAGGGGTTAAGGGTGAAACTCTCTTCTCCTATGTGAGGAGTTAACAGATACTCTCTTGACTCAAGGGAAGGGAGTGGGAGAAAGGAGTGACCAGCGTTGTAAGAAGGAGCTTCAAAGCTCCTTAATGATCAATCACAAAACCTCCAGAATCTGCCAAGATATTTTTAGCTGTTCTAACTTTTCCTTGTAACTTCCATGAAGGAGGATTCAGGGGTGTAGAGGGAAGGGAGTAAGTAAGCCCCAGGGAACCAAAAAGCAGCTGCAGTTTTCCCTGATTCCCTAGCACTGAGAGAATTGACAGAATTGGGCATACACTTCCAGACAGGGCATCCATCCTTGTCCTCCATGCTGCAGAAGGTGTACCCAGGTCCATGGCCTCAAACTGACCCAGTGGACTGAGAACCTGAGAACGTCAGGCCCAGCATGAGACTTCCTCATAACTGTCTGCCTGAAAAGCACCTCCAAGCCTTGGTGCTTGGAGAGTGACCCCAATTGCAGAGCAAGAAAGGAGTGGGGGAGCTTACGTACCTTCCAGTATTGGCTGGAGAAGAACTTGGGGTTAGGCAGTTTCCCTGTAAGGGCCACAAAAATGTTGAGGTTTAGGGGTGCTGGGATTCTAAAATCACAACAGGCGGGGCCTGACTGAAAGAATTTGACCCAAGCCTTCTTTCAGCCAAAGACAAAGTTTATTAGAACATCCCATCATGTTGGGCAGACTCTTAAGGAATCTGAACATTAGTGAGCTAGTGGCTAGATTATAAGAATCTGAGCCTATCCAATTAGTTTTAACCAAATGTTGTACGTACTCCTACAGAAGGAGTAATATTAGTGAACAACATAATCACTTTAAATTTTAGGTATTATAGAAATTTATAGGACAAGGTAAGTTTACTGACCATTGTGCATATTTGGAAGAATTAAAAATAACAAAGATGAGATACGGAGTATATCTTTATGTCCACTTAGGATTAAAATTAATTTAAAAAGTCAAAGAACATTTTCCCAGCAGGTCCTAAAATAGCATATTGAACTTGTTTTGATTTATGAAAGAGAACAAATTAAGCATGATTTAAAGGGATTTTAGGGAAAATAAAGTTATTCAAATATTTAAAAAGACATCTACAATTGACATTATTAAAATAATCACATCATCTAAAAATGTCTGACAAATTCTAACTAGTAGAAACAAGATACTAGATTTTATTAGTGAATATATAACCATTGCTATGCATAAATATGACCTCTGGTTTTATACTCATCAAACTTTATAATTCTATAAAATATTAGATATTTGATATGTTTAACATGGCAGAATAGCACAATATATATTTAATTATTTCATTTTGTTCAGCCTTTTACCCATTAAGCATGAAAACATAACTTCTCCTTCACTTCTCCCAGGTTGTTAGGTAGAGCATATATCCATGCACTGATCTTTTTTAATAGTAATAATAATAATCATAGCTTACATTTATATAGTGCACACCATGTGCCAAGCACTATGCTAAGCTCTTTGCAAATAAAATCTCATTTGATTTTTACAACAATCTTGGGAGGTAAGTTACTATCATTGCCCACATTTTACAGATAAGAAAACAGAAGCAAACAGATATTAAGGGACTTGCCCAGGATCACAAAACTAGCAAATGTCTGAAGCCAATTTGAACTCAGGTTTTCCTGACTCCAGACTCAGGGCTCTATCCACTGCACCACCTAACTAGTTCATTTTGGTAACATATTTAGTGCTATTCAGTTTGTTTTTATCAGACAAGTCTCTTAACTATATCTTTCATGCCATATCTATTAAATCTAGTGCAGGTCAACTTTTAATAATAAATTTATCCTTAGGGCTGAAAATGGGAGTTGCTTTAAAAGAATTGTACCTGCAAGTGTTTGATTGAGTCATTTCGTAATAATCTTATTATTTACTTTTTTTAACCTTCTCTAAGATGTCTTAGTGCATTTAATATATATCTTCTTATCAGCTGCTGTTCTTTTAGAAAAATATTTATTTTCAGTTTTTAACATTCACTTCCATAAGATTTTGAGTTCCAAATTTTCTCCCCATCTCTCCTCTCCCCTCACCCTAAGAGGGCATGTAATTTGATATAGGCTCTACATGTACATTCATATTGAATCTATTCTCACATTAGTCATGTTGTAAAGAAGAATTAGAACCATGAGAAAGAAGAAACAAAAAAAAAAAGAAAAAAAGAGAGAGCAAATAATATGCTTTGATCTGCATTCAGACTCCATAGTTCTTTTTCTGAATGTGGACAGTATTTTCCATCATGAGTCCTTTGGAGTTGTCATTGCTAAGAAGAGATGAGTTTATCAAAGTTAGTCATTGTACATTGTGGCTGTTTCTGTGTACAATGTTCTTCTGGTTCTGCTCACTTCACTCGGGGCATCAGTTTATGTAAGGCTTTCCAGGTTTTTCTGAAGTCTGCCTGCTCATCATTTCTTACAGCATAATACTATTTTATTACATTCATATACCACAACTTGTTCAGTCATTCCCCAGCTGATGGGCATCCCCTCAATTTCCAATTCTTTGCCACCACAAAAAGAGATCAGCTGCTATTAGTAATACAACAGCAAAAGCTAAATTTACTTTATGTAAGTCCTGCCTGGAATTCTCAAACAAGGAGAATTTGACCTATTTCTTTCCAAGTTCCACTGCAGAGTTATAATTTTTCGAGTTTTTTAATTACCCCTGACAGAAAAATTGTTAACATAATGGCAGAAAATTGTTAATACCAGATGTAATATTACCTGCCACTCCCTCTTAATTGCTCCTAGTAATGTCAGAATTTCAGAATTCCTTACATTCCTACCCTTAAGATATTGTCAATTAAGTTGAACTGAGAACTACACCCTAAGTCCTCACCCTCAGACCTTTTTATGTAAACAAAACCAGCTTGAGTCAGACCAGCTTCCAAAGTAGCTTCTAATGTCCTCATCCCTTCCATTGAGATGTATAGAATGATGTCACATTACTAGGAGACAGAATAACTCCATCAAAGGCAGATCATGCCAGTCTAACCTAATTTCCTTTTTTGATAGGATTACTAATGTGGTATGAGTTATATGGGGTGTTCAAAGAGGACTAGTACCTCTGGTGTGAGGGCTTCCTGAGCTCTTCTCAGGGCTTCTCATCTACCTTTGGTGTCCACTTGCACTCAGCTCTCACCTGTGGCTTCAAGAAACCGTAGCTTGTGCAGGGACCATACCCTGGTAAAAGTATCTCAGCAGATGGGCTAAACCAGGTTGAGGGTGTCAAGATCCAAGAGTGCCCCTCTCTTTTTAATCCTATTAGAAGACATTCTGTTTTCTAGAGCTGAGGTCCAACAAACAATCTGTATTCTGAGCTTGTCATAACAACAATCCTTTGTGCTCTGGATGAATTTTGCTGCAACTAAATCACAGAAATGATGGTTAACAGTACAGGATCACATTCCCTCTGAGTAGCTTGTGGCATTTCTCTCAAATACTGATTTAATGTAGACAACTATGCTCAAATTCAAACTCAAAACAAAATCAGTTATAGTCCCAAGAGCCTTTTACCTCAAACAGCAAGTTTCACTAATCACAACTTAAAGCCAGATACAGTTACTTTTACTCTCATGGAGTTGCAATAAGCAATGAAGATTTACCAGGACTCACATACATACGAGATTTCACTTAACATCTTTCCTTCTCAAATTTTGAACTTGTAAAAGCCAATCATTAGAAATCATTTCTATCTATTGTACATAAACTTGCAACTTCTCAGCAAGCCAAGTTCATTGTTTAGGAACTGCATAACCCAAACAAGTTCTTTTCTTAGGACAGATGTCCTTGCCCACACAGATGGTTTCCAGGGACTTTGGCAAGTTTACAAAATAAGAGGAATTGCTTTGTACCTCAGGGAG